TTTCAATAAAAAGAGCAATTCGAAATTTATGAAAAATCAGATTATTTTCATACTAAATCAAAAAAACAAAAAGTTCAAATTATAAAAACCGACAAGTTCAAAAAAAGTTTTAACCATAAACAAGTTCAAAATTCATAAAAGAAATGAATTATCCCCGTTTCATAAAAGAAGTTAAAATTAAAGTAACAGAGCGGTTCAATAATTAATAAAAAAACTCGGATTTGTAACCGCTACTAAAGAAAAAAACAAGATGTTCAAAATAAAAAGCAAAGCAATGAAAAATTCATATAAAAAGGATTTTCAACGTTTCTAAAAAAAACCTAGAAATTCAAATTGAAATAACAAAATTGGTTCAATATTTACTAGAAAAACTTGTATTTTTTCCGGTACTAAAGAAAAAACACAAGAAGTTCAAATAAAAACCCAAAACAGTCGAATAGTTATTAAAAAAGGATTTTCCTAATTTCTAAAAAAACATAGAAGTTTAAATTTTCAAAATTGGTCATTTCAAAAATTATAAAAACAAACTGGATTTCCCTCTTTCTAGAAAAAACTAGAGGTTCAAATTAAAAAGACGAAGAAGTCCAATGTTTATTACAAACCCAAGAAGTCCAATGTTTATTACAAACCCAAGAAGGCCAATCTAAAAAAAGAAGAAGTTGAACACAAATTTATAAAAAGGATTTTCTCCGCTTAAAAAACAGACAAAAAATGTTGTTTTTTGTGTTTAAAAATAATTCTCTCAATCCATTACAAATTTGAAACAGAATGCTCAAAAACCTTCCAAGGGTAAATAATATTATTATTCTAAAATAAACGGCTAAATCAAATTAGTGTATGTTGTTCGAAAAGAAAAGTTTAACCGTATAAGAAAAAAGTTGTGTCTTTTCAAGAGTTTTTTTAGTGGTATATCATTTGTGCAACTCTGGCGAAACGCGTGAGGAATTATGAACAAAAATACGTGACAGAAGTTCAAAGTGAAAACAACGAGCAGTTCAAGTGCAACACGGGATGCATTTTAGATGAGAATAAAAGAATAAAAAACTAAAAGCCTAAAAAAATTGTTTCAATAAGTTCACGTCCTCCTCCCTGCACGGTTCAAAATTTATATTGTGAGACGTCTGACCTTCAATTACATATTTTAAATAAAGGCAAAACATGATGTTGTTTTTGCCATTTTAAAAACTGCTCTCAAACGACAATGAATTTGTAACGATTGTCTAGATGAAAAAGTTGCTCATATTCATAAGCTTTCCAATGGTTTATTATATACTACATTCCGATGAACGGTTTAAAAGTTTCATATATACAGTTAAAAACACGTTTCTACATATTCAGATAAGTCTCTTGAGCCGTCGTGAGCATGGAAAAAATGATCAACACAGCAAAGTTGCGTGTTGTCAACAGCTTTCCATCAGTATATCATTTGCTTAATTCTGGGTGGTGGTTGGGGAGTTGCGGGCAAAAGACACTCACGGAAAACAGAATGAAGTTCAAACAGACATGCCCCAGAAGTTCAGGTACTTCACGCAATGCATTTTCAAAGACTGTTTTGGCGATGAAGGCAGAACGCATGGTCTCTCAATTTTCAAAATTACATAAGAACAACTAGGAATTAGAGAAAACTTTCTATACGAAAAACGTTCGCGTTTTCATAGCTTTCCAGCGGTATATTATATTATTATTTACCCCATTCCGATAAAGTTTGCACAAATTACGACAAAAATACATTTTCAGCCATTTTCAAAATTGACAAAAAATCATAAAGAATTGGGAGCAAGAATCTATACAAAAAAGTTTCGCAATTGCTCAAGCTTTCCAACGCCATATCATTTGCTGCATTCCAACAAACCATTGAAAAATTAACTCGAAAATACAAACTCGGAGTAACTTCGACCATTTTCTAAATTACTCATAAACCTTTCAAAATTACAAAAACAGATTCTATATGAAAAAGAAGCGCATTTTAATAAGCTTTCCAATGCCATATTATTAGCTGCTTTCCGTAACTTAGTAAATTTGAACTGCAACATAGACTTTTGTAGCTTTGTATAGAAATTGATATATACAGATTTGCAGGAACATTCACGTCATAATTTTCTTAGCTTTGTATAGAAACTAGAAAACTCTTACATGAGAATTATATGTTACCCTTTGATACTGCGCAAACTTTTTCATAAATTCAACATGAGTTAATTGCTAAATTACTCAACGCAATTGTACAATATGTATTCAATATAACATTCCTGCAAAAAAATTAACACTTCCTAAATGTGTGTGCCATGTACATAGGTGTTGTCTAAAGCATGTAAAATACATTAGAAGTCCTTGAAGATATTTTACACCTTAGATAAATGAACACCATGTTTGTAGTTAACTATGCCTAGATTAAACTAAATTTTGTGACATACAGAAATAGTGGCCATGGTTAGACATGAATTGCGAACATATCTAGCTACTACTCCCTCCATCCAAAAATACTTGTCATCAAAATGGATAAAAAGAGATGTATCTATCTAGAACTAAAATACGTCTAGATACATCACTTTTATCCATTTTGATGACAAGTATTACCGGACGGAGGGAGTACAATAGAGCTGCAGTGCAAATAAATAGCACCATTATGCTGAGGGAAGTTGACCACAAATAGGATTTTTCACCTGGATGCCTAGATAATTGAGGGGCCAAGATCACTCATGTCTTGTATAAGATGGCAAAAATGAACTTTTTCCAAGTGAAGGTTGACTGCTATACAGCTGATAGCCGCTTTAGAAGCTTTAAAGAAAATAAAGAATGGATAAATAAATATGAATATCATATGTTCTCAGATGGACCTATAGAAGCAAGTAAATAAATGAATCAATGAATATCGGCTGATTAAAGAAAATATAGCCAAGCATGTTCATATACGTAAGGAGAAGGAAATCTCCATTCAACTCTTTCACCAACATGCTATTGATTCCAAACGGGAAGAACCTGGTCAATCCCGTGACATAGAGGAACTCATGTTTGGTCTCCGAGTACGGTTGCGAGCACAGGATAGACTCTTGTCTCCTATCCCATTGCTGCGCCATGATTGGCCGGCCCTGCGCATGATGACGTCGTTGTGTGGGGCAGGGGACGACGCGATGAAGGGTTATGGCGGAAGGCACGAGAGGCGTCTAGGTGAGCAGGAGAGGAGGAGTCGGGGCGGTGAAAAGCTCCATGCGGTAGAGGTCTTTGCCGGTAGAGGCGCTGGACAGGAGCTCGTCTGTGAGCTTGGCCGACGTGCGGGTGAAAGGGGGAGATGGAAGAGAGGAAGAGGAGACAGAGAGGCGTTCGTCGGCGACCGGTAGCTCCCGACATGTTCGGTCATGAGCGCATCCATGACACGTGCTCGAAGGCGGGTGAGGCGTGCTTGGTCCTCTCCGATGGCGGTAGTGCGTGAGAGTCGGGAGGGAAAGAGAAGGCTAGATTGAGGAGGACCCGGGGTCGAGGAAGGTTGCGCATAGGAGGTGGAAGAGAAAGCTGGGAGGTAGTGGTGGTGGTGCAGGAGGAGGAGGGGAACATCAGATAGTGGGATGAGGAAAGGAGTGGAAACTAAAATTGAAAATAGGAACATTTTTTAAAATTTGAAATCATGGACTTCTTTGATTTTCAGACTTTTTTTCAAATGAAGGTCACGACTTTTGAAGTTTTTTTGGAATTTCTGAACCAAATTTGGAAACATGAACATTTTTCAAAAATTAAAATAATTCTAAAAAGTGTGAACATTTAATAAATTTCTGAATATTTGTTAAAAAGAAAAATAAAATTGCAAAAGAAAAATTAAAATAAAAAAACAGAATCATAAAAAGAATGGAATAAAATATCTATCGTCCGCTTAACAAGTGGTGAAAAAAAAATCAAAATCGGCCGAAAACACAAAAACCAGTGAAGAACCTGCAATGAACCAAAGCAAAAAACCGGGTACACGTGTGAGGCCCAAGAGAGCCATCATTCACAACGACAAATGCACGGGAGGGCTCCTAGCTTATCCACTTTATATATATTCCCTCCGTCTTAAAATAAGTGTCTTGAGCTTAGTATAAATTTATAGTAGAGATAATATAAAGTTGAAACACTTATTTTGGGACGAAGGGAGTAGTATAGTATATATACGATTACAAGCACAATATTTAACGTGGCATTAACATATCCAAACATCATAGAAAAATAGTCATGCATAAAGCATTTGCAATTAATGTCAAAATAAACCAATATATCAAATATTAATCATGGCTTTGCAATGCCATCAGCAAAATGGAGGTGGTGGCTTGCCTTGCTTAAATGGAGTTACAAAGTACTCATGATCTTCACCATCTGAGTTATTTCCTTCCGAAAATACTTTTAATAAGCCATGGTAAATATCACATAAAGCAAATTGTCTACCCAGAAATTCTAAGTAGTTCACAAAAATTCGAGAAACTACCACTGGGTAAAGGAGCTCAAAATAAAAATACTTCAAAAATGATGGACTCAATTATGCTTCTGATTTAAAAATTAGAGCTGGTCAAAGTTTGGGTCAAAATGGATATAAATTGATTTAACTGGAATTTCCTGGATCGGCCACGTCGAAGGCGTAAAGCAGAAATACGGTTTCACTTACGTACCGCTTCGGTAGTGGCTGACTCGCTGACAAAGTGGGCTAGAACGGTCAGGTTTTAACAGAGGGGGAGGGGAACAGTACTGGTGAGCTCTCCGGTGATGGACGGCGGCGAGGAAGAAGCGGAGGTGCTCGGTGAGCTGATGTATGGAGGGATACTATGACGGCGAGTCGATGGGTACCCGTAACTTGGCGATAGGCGGACGGACGGTGATGGGAGCGTTGTCTCTAGAGACGGCGAGTGGCAACGCTGGATGGATTCGTGGATACCTGCACGGAATCAAGCAATTGAGCATGAAATCGGCTCCATAAGGAAGTGAGGAGCTCAGGTATGCAGATGTTCTCCGGGGACTTACACCGAAGGTGGCTGGCGGCGATGGTGCCCGAGCGGCGGAGCATCTCGCCAATGTCGGGGAAGGACGCCCTCCTAGCCTCCCTTCTGTGGAATAGGGATCGATTGGATGGTGGAGGAGGCGAGTGGTCATGCAAACCGAGCGCGGTCGACAACTTTTATGGCCGGGAGGAGGTGTTGTGCATCGGTGCCGCCATGGATGCGCTGGTTGAGCAAGGACGATGCGCTGGCTGGCGTGGAGCGGCGTTGACACAGCGGAGGCGGTCATGGGAGATAAGAAAGCAGGCTAGATGTCAAGTGGGGAAGAAGACAGAACTGACCACAGTCGCGCACTGCTGTGTCAGTGCGGCGGCCGTTGTTGTCGTCGTCTGGCGAGGAAGCGGACGACGGTGCGAGGTGGCCTGAGGAGGGAGTCGGACGGGTGTTGGCGATGGCGGCACGAGGGGACATGCCTCAGTGGCTCGAGCTGGCCTGGGCGACGCGACGGGCGCGCAGAGCGCCAGTTTGACATGCCATTGAGATGATCACCACAGGAACTCGTCCTCGGGGACACGTCGACATGCCAAACATTGTCTATTTTTTTGGTCTCTTTAAAGATATATTTTGTATATAAAATACCGCTTTGCCATTTTAAATGACATGCCATGAGATGCACAAGTCTGTATTTCTTTCTTTTTTATTAGTCACTGAAGATGTGATATTTTAATATCTTGATATAGTTCCTTTTTAACTTCAGCAGGAGAGTCTCAAAAGGTTGTTAGTAGTAAATAATAGCTTCCTATCATTGATTTGTAATTGGTGACTATTCTGCGCCGGCGCAATCGATTCGGCCGGACACCGTGCGGCCGTTTGATTTGATTATATTTAACCGTCAGATCCTGTATTGTTTTCTCCTAATAAAGCGCATCCAGCGGAGGAAAAAAACGAAGCAGCGCCGCCACCAAGACTCGCCATGGATACTGATGTAGTAGCAAACCTTGAAGAACTGCCGCCCGTCGCCACCCTCCTGGCCTCGCCGTTGGTCATCACCGGTCGCCGCCCTCGCCGCCGCTCTCCTCCCTAGCCGTCGGTCACCACCAGTCGCCGCCCTCGCCGCCGCTCGCTGCCCTCGCCGTCGTTCACCACTGCTCGCCGCCCTCACCGTCGATCACCACCGGGCGGCGCCCTCGCCGCCGCTCGCCGCCCTCGCCGCCGCTCACCGCCCTCGCCGCCCTCGCCGTCGGTCACCATCGGACGCCGCCCTCGCCGTCGGTCACCACCGGTCGCCGCAGGCGTTTCTTGCCAACTCCATGCATGCAACAACATGCACTTGTGGTTGCAGCTCAGGGGGAGATGGCTGCAGGTCCGGTGGTGCCGGCCGCCGGGACGCAACACTTGTCATTCAGCTTGCGATGTACCTCCCCGTGTGCCCGCCCGAGGCTCTTGCTAGTTCCAACAAAAAAACGATGCCGATTGTAGCAAAAAAGTTTATCGCTTCCAGCAAAAAAAGCTTACTGCTGTCGCCCGCTGTCGTCATTGTAGCAAAAATGTTAACTGGATGTAGCTTTTGTGGTTGCTGGTTGCAGCAAAAAAAATGACGTGGTTGTAACAAAAACAAAATAAACATCGGCCAGCCGTTGTGTATGGTAGTAACAAACCCTGAGCCGGTGGTAGCAAAAAACTTCATAGTTTGCAGCAAAAAACGTTGTCGCCCGTCGTCGAGGTTGCATCATCTTCGCGAATTATGTCGCAAAAAAATATTGTCGCCGGTAGTAGCAAATGAAGCTGCCGATAGTAGCAAAACAAGACACTGGTTCTAACAAAAATAATGTCGGTTGTAACATCCCTCGCCACCGGATGTAGCATCTCCCGCGGCCAATTGCAGCATTCCATAAAAAAGAGGAAGAAGCTGTGTATGGACGCATCCATCGCGACTGTTGCATCCATGGTTGAAGCTTTTTCCGTCAACGGTTGCAGCTTTTTCCTTTTCATAGTGCTTGTTGAAGCTTTTTTCATCTACGGGTGAAAGCTATTTCCGACAATGGTTTTAGCACTGACTGGCCCCTAGCTTTCGCCATCCCCGGTCGAAACTTTTCAATGATCGGTTGTAGCTTTTTGAGGTGCCGGTTGCAGCTTTGTGGGTTGCACAGAATTGGTTGTAGCACCCATGCAGCAAAAAATCAACGCTGATTCCAGCAAAATTTACCACCGGTTCCAGCAAAAAATCACAACAATTGTAGCGGAGAGCAGTCTGAGATGCGTGGGACTGGGGAGATAAGGGGAGAGGAAGAAGCGGCAAGGTCAAAAGAAAAAAAAGAAGAAAAAATGCAGCATGAAAGAGATAAAGAAAGCGCTCGAGGCCCACCAAACGGATGTGCTGGCCTGTTCCCGCCAAGAGCGAGCGAGCGAGCGGGCGACCGGCCAAGCGCTCGGCCGGTCGTCCGTAGGGAAACGTTTCCCTTTGTAATTTTGTATTATTATTGTTATGCTATATGGCTAGTGGTTGTTGGCAGCTAGGTAACCCTATCCTTACCTTTACTGACGTAGTGTACCTGTCAGTGCTCCTGGTCCAGCTGCCACCGCCTCCCCAGCTCCTGCTGTTGCTGTCTCGTGAGTTGATTTATGTTCTTTATTTCATCTTATTTTGATTTGTAATATCATAAAATGCAACCCTAGGTCTAAAGGACTTGGCTAAAAAAAATTCTTGCTGAGGCGGCTGTCGAGCATCGATTAGATTTTATCGCTCTATCGGAGACCGGTAGAGATAATTTTGCGCCTCAGTTTCTTAATACTTTGTCGAGAGGGATTGACTTTGATTGACATTGCCTACCACCGAGAGGGAGATCGGATGGGATCTTGCTCGGCGTTCGATGCAAAGCGCTCGAGGTTCGAAGTGTGGTTATGGGTGACTTTGCGGTCAAGTTTCGGGTACGATCGAAGGATGATGGATTTAATTGGGCTCTGGTTGCAGTGTATGGGGCTGCGCAACCCGAATTCAAGCCCGAGTTCTTGGCTGATCTAGTTAGGATTTGCGGCTCAGAGCAGCTTCCTATCCTTGTGGGGGTGATTTCAATATCATTAGACGGCGTGAGGATAAGAACAATGATAACTTTGATGGCAGATGGTCATTCTTGTTTAATACTATCATTGAAAATCTTGACCTGAGAGAAATTGAGCTCTCGGATAGGAAATTCACCTGGGCTAACGCGATGCCAAATCCGACGTATGAGAAGTTGGATCGAGTGTTGGCGAGCGTCGAGTGGGAACAGAAGTTTCCTCTAGTAACAGTTCAGGCTTTGTCCCGTGGGATTTCTGATCACACGCCGTTGTTTGTCGACTCCGGTGAGGCCACCCACCTGGGTAATAAAAACTCCTTCTCGTTTGAGCTGGCTTGGTTCGAACGAGAAGGTTTCTTTGATCTTGTAGCCAGAGAGTGGGCTAAGGATTCAGGAGGAAAGACTGCGCTTCAGCGCTGGCAGAATAAAATTAGGCATTTGAGAAGCTTCCTGCGTGGTTGGGCTAAGCATCTTAGTGGGATTTATAAGGTCGAAAAGGAATGGCTCCTTTCCCTTATTCAGGCCCTAGATGTGAAAGCTGAAACCACGGTACTGCCGGCCATGGAGCTTCATGCCAAGCTTGATGCGGAGATGAGGCTGAAAGAACTTCTTCGAGAAGAGGCATTGAAGTGGGCGTTGCGGGCCAAGGTCCGACGGGTTGTCCAGGGAGATGCGAACACTCAATTCTTTCACATGATCGCTAATGGTAAACATAGAAAGAAGAGGATCTTTCAGCTTGAGCAAGATGAAGAAACAATTGTAGGACATGAAAACCTTAAGCAGTATATTACTGAGTATTACAAGCAGCTGTTTGGTCTTCCTGAGGATAACTGCGTGTCCTTGGATGAGTCCAGGGTTGAGGATGTTCCTCAACTCACAGCGGTGGAGAATGATATTCTCGCGGCTCATTTTTCTGAGAAAGAGGTGTTCGAGGCCATATCGCAAATGAAAAATAACAAGGCGCCGGGCCCTGATGGTTTTCTAGTGGAGTTTAATAAAAAGTGCTGGCATATTATTAAGGGGGATCTGTTGCCTCTGTTTAATAATCTCTTCTCTGGACAGCTTCAGCTTTTTCAGCTGAATTTTGGTACGATAACCCTTCTCCCTAAGAAAACAGAGGCTGCGAGAATTGAGCAATTCAGGCCCATCTGTCTTCGAAATGTTAGTTTCAAAATCTTTACCAAGGTTGGTACTAATAGGCTCACACAGATTGCGCATGCTGTGGTACAGCCTACCCAAACTGCTTTCATGCCGGACAGGAACATTCTTGAAGGGGTTGTGGTCCTTCATGAAACGCTCCATGAGATCCACACGAAAAAAACCAGATGGAGTTATTTTCAAAGTGGATTTCGAGAAAGCGTATGACAAAGTCAAATGGCCCTTCCTTCAACAGGCCTTACGTATGAAGGGATTTGATGAAGCTTGGCGACGCCAGGTAGAATCCTTCACGCAAAAAGGTAGTGTTGGAATTAAAGTGAATGACGATATAGGTCATTATTTTCAGACACAAAAGGCCCGAGGCAAGGTGATCCGATGTCTCCTATTTTGTTCAACATTGTGGCGGACATGTTGGCAATTCTTATAGGAAGGGCAAAGGAGGCCGGTCAGGTGGGTGGCTTGGTGCCTCATCTGGTTTATGGGGGTGTCTCCATTCTGCAGTACACTGATGATACAATCATCTTTATGGAGCATGACTTGGTAAAAGCGAAAAATATGAAGCTGGTGTTATGCTTATCTGAACAATTGTCCGGATTAAAGATTAACTTTCACAAAAGCGAGTTGTTCTGCTTTGGTAGAGCCAAGGAGGAATAAGAGGCTTATAGGCAATTGTTTGGATGTGAATTAGGGGCTTTACCTTTTACGTACCTAGGTATACCCATTCACCATCGTAAGCTAACAAACAGAGAGTGGAAGTGCATCGAGGACCGGTTTGAAAAAAAACTCAGTTGCTGGAAGGGTAAACTCATGTCTTATGGAGGCCGGCTGATTCTTATCAATTAGGTGCTCACGAGTATGCCGATGTTCCTTCTATCGTTCTTCCTAGTTCCAGTCGAGGTTCGGAAAATGCTGGACTTTTAGCGATCAAGATTTTTTTGGCAGAGTGATGATCTTAAGAGAAAGTATCGACTAGCTAAATGGGATGTCATCTGTCGACCAAAGGACCAAGGGGGTCTGGGTGTTGAGAATCTTGAGGTCAAGAACAGATGCCTTCTCAGTAAGTGGCTGTATAAGTTATCTGTTGAGACAGACGCAACGTGGGCACAGATTTTTCGTAACAAGTATCTGTAGTCCAAGACTTTGTCACAGGTGATCGTGATACAAACAGACTCGCCGTTTTGGAAGGGGCTTATGAGAGTTAAGGCTACCTTC